ATTGAAATACTTCTTCGGTTGAATTTTAGTAAATTTAATTTAATTTTTTAATTTTTAAATAAAAATTTAATATATGATATAAATGATAATTAAAATTTTTTTAATCAAATTAAAATACTCAAAAAAATTATATAAGAAATTTTTTTTAATTATAATTTATATAGATTATTAAATTTTTATTTAAATTTTATATCTAAAAAACTAAAAACCAAATTAAATTTACTAAAATGGATTGAATGAGTACCATTTTCAACACAAGTGAAATGTAAATTGCTCATGCATGCACAATAGAACCGGTCAACACTCGGGAAATTAAACTCCCTGGTCGTCTCGACTCAGCTCGACTCAGTCTCTTATCTCACATCTTACTCACCCTTAACGATCCCATCTCCTTCGCAATCTCTCTTAGCACAAACTTTTGAATCTTCCCCGTTGACGTCTTCGGCAACTCTTCCTTAAACACCACCGTTTTTGGCACCATGAAGTGCGGCAGCCTGGCCCGACAGTAGTCTATGATCTCCTTTTCACTCGGTTTCCGACTCAAATTACTCTTTAAACTCACAAACGCACATGGACTCTCCCCCCAGAACTCGTCCGGCCTAGCTACCACCGCTGCCTCGTTCACTGCGGGATTGGTGTAAAGAACCGATTCCACCTCCACGCTACTCAGGTTCTCTCCGCCGCTGATAATAACATCCTTAGACCGATCTTTGATTTCCATATAACCGTCAGGATGCATCACGCCGACATCTCCTGTGTAGAACCATCCGTTCTTCCTCATACACTTTTGTGTGCTTTCTGGGTCCTTCAGATATCCAAGCATCACGGACCCACCTTTGAGAACGACCTCCCCGAGCGAGGACCCGTCTCGTTTAACACTGACTCCTGTCTCGGGATCCACCACGTCCAATTCCGTCAATCCGATCGTCCTCACACCTTGCCTTGATTTAAGCCGCGCTCTCTCCGCCGCCGGCAACCGGTTCCACTGCCCTTTCCACGCGCAGGAAACAACAAGTCCTCCGGTTTCCGTCAAGCCATACCCATGACTCACAATAAAACCCAGTGACTCGGTCCGGAAGAGAACGGCCGCCGGCGGCGGAGCTCCGGCCGTGAGAATTTGCACCGGTTTTTCAAGCGGTTTGTTATCGGGAGAGTTTGATAGCATGTTGAGCACCACAGGTGCACCGCACATGTGGGTCACGCCATATCGTCCGATCAGACCGTAAATCGTCGATGCGTCGAATCTACGGACACAAATGTTGGTCCCACCAACGGCGGCCATCCCCCAAGTGTAGCTCCAACCGTTGGCGTGAAACATCGGTAGGGTCCACAGATAAATGGGTTGTTTCGGAACAGACCAATCGATCAGAGAATCTATGGTCATGATGAAAAGTCCTCTGTGGCTGTGTACCACACCCTTAGGAGAGGACGTCGTACCAGATGTATAGTTCAGAACAATTGGGTCCCATTCACTTTTGGGTCGGAACCAGTTGAAATCAGGATCACCTTTCTCCATTAAGCTCTCATAGTTAAAACTGAAATCATGAGAGTCAACGGCTGGTGATGGAGATGCATCATCATCGGTGATGAGAACGAGCACAGGGCGTTTGGCGTCTGGTGGCAACAGCGAAACGGCCTCGAGGGCTAGATCGCGCGAGAGAACATCAACGAAGAGGAGTTTCGATTCGCCGTGGCGGAGGAGAACGGAGACGGTACGGGCGTCGAGGCGGGTGTTGATGTTGTTAAGGATCGCACCAGACATGGGGACGGCGAAGTGGAGCTCGTACATGGCGGGGATGTTGGGGGCCAAAACGGAGACAACGTGACCGGGGGAGATGCCGGCGGATGTGAGTGCGGAAGCGAGTTGGAGGCATCGGCGGTGGGTTTGGGACCAGGTGTAGGAGGTGGAGTTGTAGACGATGGAGGTGCAATTGGGGTAGACGGTGGCGGCTCTGTCTAAGAAGCCTAAGGGGGTAAGAGGGGATGTGTTGGGAACACTTGGCTTCATCTCTTCCATTTCTCTCCGTCCGTCTCCTCCTCTTGTTTCTTTGGAGATAAGATAAGCACAGACTTAACAGAAGATATATAGTCATTTTTAACTCCACCATGCGGGTCGATCGGCCGCGCGCCTCAATGAAGGGTGGAAGATCAGCTAGATCAAATCCTCAATTAATAATATTTTTTAATCTATTTACTAACTATTAATTATTACTCTTGTCCAAAAAAAAAAAGAAGAAAGTTATATAGTCATTCTCACTCGGTCACTCCAGCTCCATCCACCGAAATAAAGTTGTTTCTTTTAAATAATTAATAAATTAAAAAAAATTAAATATTTTCAACATGTGCATTAGGTGGAGAACAAAAAATCTAATAATTGAATCGTACTTTATGGCTCAATCTTTCAACTTCAAGTTTTAAGTGTTTGGATGAGATAATCAAAATTTTAAATTTTATCATTGTCATAAATTTTATCAAAAAGTGATCTAATAATCGTGCATTTCATTTGAAGGGTTAAAATATTCACTAAATCTGAATTTTATTTGAAGGGTTAAAATATTTACTAAATCTGAAAATCAATTACTAATAGTTAACTCACTAATTTTTTAATTATTATTTTTGTATAAAAAAAATCTAATAATTAAAAGTATAATAACCAAAAGTCGCTTCACGATTACTGGCCAAATCTACTTTTTCTCACCCGATGGGAAGGTTTCGACGCTACCAAACCTTTTTCTCAACACCTTTCCCAATCCCTCCTGTTAAAAAAATTATCAGTAACATTTATCGAGATTAATATCTTTTTTTAATTATTAAGGGTATTATGATAATTTTAATATACAAATTATCTTCCGTTTTTTTTCTGTGAAGTTTGTATTAAAAAAACATGTACGTTTATTTTCAATTTAAGTTGTTTTAGTTTAGCTTCAGTTTGAAAGAAGAATAAAGTTGTTTAAATTAATTGTTAATTTTTTTAAGATATTATTGTGATATATTACTTCATTTCTTTTAAAATAATTATTAATTTTTTTCTAAATTAAAAATTTAAAGACAATTTTTATATTTATATATACTACACTTAAAAATATAAAAGGGAATTTTTATAATTAAATAATTAATTAAAATGAATAGATAATGATAAAAATAAAGTAAGAAATATTTGTTTATTTTAAAAATTAAAAAAATAATAATAAGTTTAAAATTAAAAATTACAACAATTTTTAAATAAAAAATATATCTTTATTTTAAGTAGATAACTATTAACATATAAGTAAAGTGCAATCCATCATACATATATTCCATTTTACCTTATCGTTGTCGAAAAAAATTTAACCCTTTCATATTGGGAATCTACACTCGATATTGGATTTATTTTGAATCTACCATTTTATCAATGTTAAAAGTACAACTCACACCAACAAGGGATTTGGATGAAGTGGTAGGTGACTTGTTTCAGTTTAAATAAGATCTCGAGTTTGAAATTTTATATACGTAATAGTTCTCGTTGAGAAACTCACTCACCATTTTCAGTTGCGCAACACCAGTTGAGTCTGGATTAATCAAGGTAAAGTCTCATATACCGAGCAAGAAATCAAAATAAAAAAAAAAAGTACAGCTCACGTAGAGCATACTACAGCACAACATCCTCAAAAATTATTTGTCTCATTAATATTTGAGAAAATGACATTTAATAGGAATAAATTTTGATTGGAAAAGCTATCATTATTTTGAGGTGAAATGAGTAAATAAAAAAGTTTATTTAAGTAGTATTGAAATAAAAATAAATGTAAAATTTATTAATTAATTATTATATTTTTATTTTATTAAAAAATTAAATTCTCTAAAGTCGAACAACCTGTAATTTTAGATTAAAAAGGTAAAAACATATGTAGTAATATAAAAACAAGGAATAATTCTAAAAGAAAAATGGTGGTATTAAAATATAATTCCAATTTGGGATGGGTGTGAAAGTTATTTCCATAAAAATCCTAAAAAGTAAAATCTAATATTATTCTAAATTATTTTCAAATTACTCCTTCTATCCCAAAATAACTATTATTTTTTAATTTTGAGTTTATTTTAAATTAGTTGTCATTTTTTTCATTTTTTTAGGTAGAGAAATTTTTTTTCCTAATTTAAGCTTATTATTATCTATTTATTTTATTTTATTATCCTATTACAAAAAGTATTTCTTTATCTTTTAGTTTTTATAGGATAATATAAATAAATACATGAATTATTCTCAAATTATTAATTTAGAAAAAAAAAATACTCAAAAAATAACATTTATTTTGGGATAGAGGTAAGAGATTTTAAGACTTTTTTTATAAATAGTTTTCTCATCAACTCGAAATTAAAATTTTTTTTTTTTGAAACTACATTTTTTAGGATTACCTCTATAAATTACTCTTTGCATTCAAATTTAGTTGTCCTACTTAAATATTTTGACTTTTTAGATATAAATTTCAAATAAAATTTTAATAACTTATACAAATAATAATTGAAAATTTTTTCTTATTTATAATTCTTGTTGAGTATTTTTAATTGATAAAAAATATTTAATTATTATTTATATAATACGTTAATATTTCATCTAAAATTTATATTCAAAAAGTAAAACTTAAAATAGGGCCAAAGAAGAAAGTGGCAAAACCAAGAATAAGGGCATGAACATCAAATTTGGGTTCTAAGATTCAAAAATATATAAAGACTGAATTTGCCCATTTGATCAAAACATAGATAAAATGTGTATTTGGTTTGAGTAATTTTATTTGTCTATAATTAACTTATTTTTCTTAAACAACTACCAGACTAATACTTTGAATAGTTAAATAATAAATATTAATAATTCTATTAGCTATCAATTATTATTAACATCGAAACTCAACAGTGCTACAATCTCTTTTGCATTAGCTAGAAATAATTTGAATAAAAATTTGAATTCTTCATTCAACTTAGCACTCCATTTGTTCCATAATAATAGATATATTTTTTTATTATATATCTTTAGATTTAAAATTTATGATTAATTTATATTACTTAAAAAAAATAAAAATAAAAAGGCTTTTTATTATAGATAAATAATTAAAATTAAGATATAATAACAATGTTAATAAAGGGAGTTAATTTACGTGTGAATCCTTAATTATATAAGGCTGGTTCAAACTTTCATCTATTTCCGTTTGTTGGGTTATTTTAATGCATAAATGAACAATTATGTGATGTAATACAACAGTTTATGAGTTGTCTATTTATAGTAGTTACGTTGAAATTTAACCACAGGTGAGATTATTATCACATTTTATATTATTAATAACATATTTTTGTAAATAATTATTTATTATATATATTTGTTATTAACTTTTGATATCCAGTAACCACATTAGATCCGATTAATTCGAAATCCAACCGTGTCAGATTTCATTAGAGGGAAGCTTTTTCAACGTCTGTTTATTTATTCATAAGGTTTGAACTCGAAATATTGTTTAAGGAGAATCGAACTCTTTCCACTTGAATCAACAAGTCGTTAGTATTATATTTTTATATTATATATTTTTAAAAAATTTATTTTTTAATTTTTTTAATAAATTAAAAAATATAATAATTAATTAATAAAATAACAATAACAACAACCTTCAATGGCGCTTGCTTAATCTAGAAAGAGAAAAGAAGAACAACCAGCGAATGAAACTGTGACTCTGAGAGCTTCTGCAAGGCCCTCAACGCAGGCCGAGTCCAGAGATTGTGCATTGGCGTTACCTAAGCTACCAATGTCTACATGCATATGTTTTTTTTGACGTGTTCTTGGAGGCTGTCAATCCGTTCGTGTATATCCTTATAACTTTTTATAGAATCAGTAGTTAAATACTACAGAATTCACATTTAAACTCAATGATTCGACTCCAAATCTTAAGTGTTTGGGTGAGTTGATCAGAGTTTCGAATTTCGTCACCATCGTGAATTCCACTAAAAAGCGGTCACAATCGTGAATTTTATCAAAAAATGACATAATGGTCATGCGCCTCATTTGAAGGGATAAAATGTTCACCCAATTTAAACATCAGTTGTTAACAACTAACTCATACTACCTTCTTAACAATCACCCTTATAAAAAAAAGAAAAAGTTCAATACTACAGAGGGTGTCGCATTAATTGCCACGGTTATTATTAGAAAGGAATTTCAACTTCTTCGTTGTTGCCATTTAAGAAAAAGTTATATATTAATTTTTGTCTTTTAATTTTAAAAGTTTTTGTATAGTTTTTATCTTTTCACTATTTCTTACATATTTTTCATCTTTTAATTTTAAAAATGTATATTTTATCATTTTGTTAATTATTTTATTAAAATTTTTTTAAATTTATATATTTTTAGTTTACAAATTTATAATAGATATATATTTTTAGTCCCAAAATTTATAAGTTTAGAGGTTAAAAATATATATTTAGATAGATTTAATAAATTAATTAATAAAAAATAAAAAATATATTTTTTAGAATTGAAAGTTAAAAAAAAATACTTAAAATAATTAAAAAATAAAAATTATAGAAAACCCTAAAATTGAGGGTCATAATTGATATTAAATCTTAAAAAAATGGAAAAATCTTTCTCACTGCAAAGACATGATTTTCTTCCAGCTCAGCTACTAGACCAATACGCTTTATCCTTTATCCAGATATGAGATATAACGACCAGCTTCATAAATACGTTTCTATATTACGTGTCAAGTCGTGCAGATCCTTCCGCTTATGTATGAGGTGTAAATGATTTTCTTTTTTTTCTTTTAACCGAAGGGGTGTATGTGATTGAAAATGATTAAGAGATAGTTTTTTTTTTTTTAAACAAGTTGTCAAGCAACGGGTTCGAAACTCGTTTATGAAAAAGAGAAAATACACTTCAAACTGACAGGTTGTCAGTTGGTCTGAAGGATCAGGTGCTATTAAAAGATAGTTTTATTATTATTATTTGTATAATTTTATATGTTATTTAAATAATTAATTTTTTTATTTGACACTTACACTTACAATGTTGAGTGTATTTACTTAATAATATGTAAAAATTATATAAAAAAATTATTTTTATATTACTACCTATATATAATAGAGT